CCCTATTTTGGAGACAATACTGCTATCACTCGAGTGATAATTTATTATTCAGATATGCATTTGCCGCTGCTGTTTTAAGATGTCTACAAAATATCACTTAAATCGACAATTACACAAATTAAATAGGAAATAGTCACTTAAAGTCTTAAATGACTTTTTACTACGTATCTTAAGAGCAGTACAGTAAATAGTAAGTGTGGACTTGTAATGGTTTTGTGAAGTTGGTAAATCTCAGTTGTATATATACAGGACACTGTACAAAGTGTGGTTGGATACAAACTCTTCCAAAGATATCCCTGTTAATATTATCTCTTCCTCTACATAAGCTATACAATATTAATTCTAAGTTACATATAATTCAAACGTGTAGATAAGATCACGATTGGTATGATCTGACAGGACTGGTTGCATCCAAAGCACTTCTTATTCTTCTTCAGAAAAAAATAAAATAAAATTGCATATTTACCCCAAGAGGTGAAAATGGCTCGCTATAGCTTATGGCCATGATTACAATACCTTTTAAATATGGAATTTTACAGAAATGTCTCAAATAAGTCTTAACTTACCAACCTCTAGCAATAATTATAAACTTACCAAAACTAGTCAAGCACATATAAAAATTGAAAGCCTAAATTAAATAAGATTTTTTTCTCCAAGAATAACACACAAAGATCTTCTTCCATATTGTTAAACATGATCAACAACATTAGATGCAAGACGGAAAGAAAATTTCTTGGATGAGGTAGCAAATAATGTGATGAAATACAGAAAAAATTTACAAGATTCCAAAAATCTAAGCAAAAAAGGACTTTTTCAATGGGTATGGTTGAAATTCATTGAAAACATATAAATGAGTCAATATACAAAATTTGAGGAAGATTGGAGGTGATTTTAACCGGTAAAAATAGCATGGGCTAGCCAGTTTTCAGACTGATAATTCAAAAATAGCCAGCGTTTGCAAAGTTATTGAAAAATAGCCACTATTTTGCTGCAATACGGACCGGTCTAGCATAATATACTGAAAATTAGTGCACATGTGTATGAACTTCCAGCATATTATGCTGGAACTCCAACACACGAAAAGTTCCAGCATAATATACTGGAGATTGGAGCACTTGTGTATGAACTTCCTGCATATTATGCTAGACCGATATATTATACTGCAACTCCAGTATATTATGCTGGAATATTTTTTGGATTTTGAATAGTGTTTTCGTTTAGATTTATCTTTACATGAAAAGTGGCTAAATTTCGATTACTTTTGAAACTATGGCTATTTTTCAATTACCACTTGTAAATCTGGCTATTTTTGAATTTCTCCCTTTTAACTGATTTGGTATAAAAATTCATAGTTAAAATCGAGTTCAAAAAATTCTTCTAAGACATATGTATCTCACACACAGGTATACATGGATATACATGTGATATACATTTGATACAGATAAAATATATATGTGACACACAAATGATACACAGTATGATACACATATCATTTTGTTTCATGTCCATTTTCTTTATCGTATTTTCAATTCAAACCACAAAACTCTACCAAATCATCCCAAAACTGAGATTCAAGCTCCTTAAGATGTACTCAATCTATTCTAATAAAACCCACTCAAAAGAAAGCATAAATTTGACCCTTTTTTGGCTACAAATAGCTAATTGGCTAATATTAGTAATATTTTATGAACTGGTCAATTTTTATAATATGCTACCTATAATGGACATAGCTGGTAGTTTCCCTTTCAAAAATCTGAATTCGAATTCAAAGTTTCAAAACTTTTTAATGGTCGTCAATGGTGGAGAGTGAAATACCTTCAAAACTTATTGATTGACAATTTCAATTCGAATAATCTTGCCAAATAATTAATATACATGTATTGCTAGCCTGCAATTGGAACACTAACAAGAAAAAGGGAAGCCTAAAAAAACTCCAAACTCCAGCCATGGCAAAATTCCAATCGATAAAAAATTAATCCCTTTCTTCACCATTGTTAGAGAAAATTATGAGCTTTAGAAGAAAAAAAAATTGTAGAATCGGTGTAGAAAGAGGGTTGATTTCAAAGAGAGAAAGATGAAAATCCTTTAGAAAGATTGAGGTTTGTCTGGGTAAGTAAGGAATTGTGAGGATTTTTCGGGATTTAATAAATTAAAAGGCTACAATCAAGGGACACTCATTTAAAATTAATTTGTATATAATTGGTAAATTATATATGACCATGTAATTAAGTTAAAACTT